GACAGGATCTCCCTGAACATTTTCGTTTCTGAATTTTTTGAATTCACTGTCTTATATTTCGGATTTACTAGACAAATACTCTTATAATTAGGGTTATATTGACAATTTTTTTTTTTTTACAAACTACACTATGTCTGACCGATATTACTCTACTCAAGAGTGTCTTACCGGTCAGACATAATGTAGTTTGTAAGATTTTGCAAACCAAAAATTTGTAAATATAATCTTTTCCCTATATATATATGGTTTGGTATTTGTCATTTTAAATGATATAAGTTATGTCATTTTAAGAGAGATAGACACAAAAAATAAAAAATCATGGGAGAGAGAAAATGGATGATTTTTTTTAATTTAAATTTTAAATAAAAAAATTTATTTTATGTCTATCTCTCTTTTAAAATGACATAACTTTATGTAATGAAAAATATATATGTGTCGTGTGTGTGTGGGGATATGAATTCTCTCAAGTTCATAAGCAAATTGTACTGTTCTGAATGCAGTCTTTCTGTGTGGATATGAATTCTCTTAAGTTCTTAAGCAAATTGTACCGTATGCACTTCATAATCTAATGAATGGAAATTCTTAAATCAAATTTTACTTTTCTTTATATAACCTTCTTGCACAATATTACATTACTTATTTTATTTCATTATTAAAAAAATAATAATTTCATTTCATTACTTATTTAAGAATGGAAAATATTCAAATTTTAATATGAATTTATAATAATATGTCTCATTAAGTAATTGATAATTTCGTAAACAAATTAACATTTTAAAAAAAATTAAAAAATGAATGAATTGAGATAATCGAGGAGAAAAGAATGGTACTAAGGAAATTAATACTTACAACGTGAGGAGAAAAAAATAATGCTAGTTTGGTTAATAATAAATGGAGGAAAAAAATACTAAAAATAAAAAACAGAAAGTATTCAATATATTCCCGGTTGGGTCGGATTCAATAAACTATAATGAAATGATCCCGGTAGAAAATCTTATCATAACATGTAAAATAATATTATTTAATATAAATAGTAATTTATTGAAAACTTTGATTAACTTAAACTTTTAAAGACCATTATCTTTTTTATTTATTTATATATCCTAATCTAATGAAAAATTCTAAGGAACTATTTGGTGGACGATATAAGGTGAATATATATGATAGATTATTATATCATGAAGCCATCGAGATATGATGAGGTGTGGGCTTATATTATCCTATCAACATTCTCATAAATTATCCTAAAGGGTACTTGTACTATAATTGGACGAGGGATAATATTTTTTTGGGTTTTATTAATGTTATGTGACATAATTTAAGTGTTGTTTCCAACACACACAATAAAAGGGGGAGAGAAAGTGGAATGATGAAAGAGAAAGAAAAACATGTGGACCCCACCTCTTTAATGTGTGTAGAAAAATGATGTTATATTATGTTACATGATAAACATAGAACCTTATTTTTTTATTCCTAATTTTTTTGTAAAAGTGAGACCATGCCCTCGCCACAGACTACCGCCGCCGTTAGCAGCTACTAGCCACCAGTTGCCACCACAGCTACCATCACAAGACAAATGTGGTCACTATTACCACCAATTAATAAAAAAATTTAAATTTTATTTTTATTTTTGAAGATATAATTTTTTATTTTGAAAATTTTTGTAAGTTATTTATATTTTATATTTAAAATTAAGACTTTTGGAATATTTTTAGTAATTTTAAATATGAATAAATGTATAAATAAGTAAAAAAAATCAGTTTACAAGTCAATTAAAAAAATTATATAAATTATGTTCTAAAAGATGTTTTGGTCTATTTATATTGTATCACATTTCCTGATTAACCTCAAACACATTATATGTTAACTTTGTACTATTAAATTACTTATGTATGTTTATCAAACACGAAATTAAGTTATGAGTTTATCATTTTCACATTATTTCCTACAATTATCCCGTTTTCCTATTCTATTTGTTCTTATCTTGGCCCACCAAATGAATCTTAATTCCCAAACAACCAAACTAGCTATTAGTAATTACTTTCTTATAATAAGTAATCACCTAATCCATACAAAGATGATATGTATTAATAATCATAATATTCCTCATTTGTATGATTATTCCCTACGTAGCACCGATACTGACACGTGACACGATACAACAAGACACCCCGACACGTTAATTCTAAAAAATGTTAGATTTTGACACGCTAGGACACGTTTTGATATTAAATAATATTTTTAATTTATGTAGTGTATATTATATTTAATATTCAATAATTTAACAAAAAAATGAAACTAAACTTATAATATTCATCAATTTTGCAAAGAAACATAAGATATCTCAAATATTTATATTAAACTCAATAAAATGGTAATTGAAATTCAACGAATCTAATAGTTGAAACTAAAAACTCAACGCAACACAACCTTTGAACTTTTTTTTGAATTTCTATAACACGTGTTAAGAGTGTCGGGTAGTGTCGGAGAGTGTCGGGAAGTGTCAGACACGACACGTCAGGATTTTTGAAGTGTCGATGCATCATAGGTTATTCCTATTTCGTACTCCACCAACAATGAAGCAGAAAATTTTGAATCATCATCGATCGTATAATAATACACCCATGCATGCCACAATAATATCATCATTTTTTGTACAACTTACATCATAATATAATCTTCCCTAATTTATATTAGCGAATCATTAACTCGTTTCATATATATTTTTTTGCTCAATTATTACAAATTTGAATAATAAACACGTGATATGGGGTTCGACTACATTATTTATCAGTACTATAATTAAAGTTTGCAATAAAGGTTTCAATGTTTCAAGAGAAAAGATTGCAACACACCTAACGCTTCAACCCACTTATAAACATGATCCCTTCTGGCGCTTTACGTATCCATTTTATACAAGTTGTGTGGCATCCCTAAGGCTTCAATTATTGAAACCCTCATCGCAAGCTTTCTTTACAGAAATTATAGATAAAGTTTGGTTGATGAGTTCGTCAAAGTATTTGAAGGGTTGGTGGCATAGATTCTACCGCTTTCAAAGAAGTATTGGAGTAATTTTTGGGAAGGTTGGATTCAGAGATTCGCAATCGGGTTTATCTTGAGGACCAACTAATAATATTAAGGCTATGACACTTGCAGCAACATGGGGGATTACAACTCCCAATACCTATATAGTGGTGCAGCGTAAGGTCGTGTCTAGATCAACGAAAAAGGGTCGATTAATTCATGTATGCTCACTATTGTAGAAGGTATGCGATTATACAAGTCGAGAAGTGGTTCGTTCAATAATAGGCGTGTGGTAAGGGATTCAACATCACTATTTACTAGTACTATAAATAAAGCTTGCAATAAGGGTTTGAATGTTTGAAGAAAAAAGGTTGCAACACTACTATTGCCTCAACCCCACTGAAAAAAAAACATGATCCCTTCAGGTGCTTTACGTATTCATTTCATCCAAGTTATGTTGCATCCCTATTGCATCAATTTTCAAAATCTTCATTGCCATATTTCTTCACATAATCAGTAGATAGTGTTTGGTTGATGACTTCGTCAGAGTATTTGAAGAGTTGGTGGCAAAGATTCCACCGCTTTCAAACGAACAAGTATTGTAGTAATTTTTGGAAAGGTTAGGGTTAGGGATTCACAATCGGGTTTAACTCGTGGACCGACGAATAATATTTGAGCTATAACACTTGCAGTAACAGAGGGGGAATTACAAATTTCGAATACCAATATAGTAGTGCAGCGTGAGGCAGTGTCTCGATCGATGGAAAATGGGTCGATTAATTCATGTATGTTCACTATTGTAGGAGGTATGCGATTATACAAGTCGAGAAGTTGTTCGATGAATAATAGATGTGTGGTATGGGGTTTGACGACATTATTTACTAGTACTGTGAATAAAGCATGCAATAAGGGTTTCAATGTTTCATGAAAAGGGGTTGCAACACTCCTATTGCCTCAACCCACTGAAAAAACATGATCTCATCAGATGCTTTACATATTCATTGCATCTGAGTTGTGTTGCACCCCTATTGCTTCAATTCTTGAAACCCTATTTGTCAGCTTTCTTCACAGAATTAGTAAATAGTGTTTGGTTGATAAGTTCATCGAAGTGTTTGAAGGGTTGTTGGCAAAGATTCCACCGCTTTCAAATGAACAAGTATTGTAGTAATTTTTGGGAAAGCTGGGGTTAGAGATTCATAATTTAACTCATGGACCGACTAAAAATATTCGGGCTATGACACTTGCAGTAATGGAGTGGGGATTGCAAACTCCCAATACCTATATAGTGATGCAATGTAAGGAGGTTTCTCCATCGATAGGAAATGGGTCGATTAATTCATGTATGTTCACTATTGTAGGAGGTATGCGATTATACAAGTCGAGAAGTGGTTCGATGAATAATAGGAGCATGGAATGGGGTTTGACGACATTATTTACCAGTACTGTGAATAAAGCTTGCAATAAGGATTTCAATGTTTGAAGGAAAAAGGATGCAACACTCCAATTGCCTCAACGCACTAAAAAAACAATCTCTTCAGGTGCTTTACGTATTCATTGCATCAATTCTTGAAACCCTAATTGCCAGTTTTCTCACAGAATCAATAGATAATTTGTGGTTGATGAGTTTATCGGAGTATTTGAAGGGTTGGTGGCATAGATTCCACCGCTTTCAAATGTGTTGGGCAAGTGGCTTCTTTACTAGGATGCAGAAGAACACCTAGAGGGGGTGAATAGGTGTTCTCAAATTTTTCAAAAACTTTTTCTTAATAAATTTTTAAATCTGTAAAGTCTTGACACAGTTGAACTAACAAGTTCAATCACCACATCAACTCAACAAGATTGACAGTTATCAATTTATTTTGCAAGTTCAGTTCAGATAACAGTCACACGACTATAACAACTTTACTAATTTTACCTTAGGCCCCTATATGCCAAAAATAATTTCTATACGAAGTATATCAACAAAAAATGTCACTGACCTTTTATTTTATAGAACAAAAGCAACAATAAGCTTTCTTACAAAAACCAGAAAATGACTAACTTCCAAATATTAGAAAACAGTTTAAGTGCTACAGTAATTATATCAGTACCAGTAAGGTGCTATAGCATTCTAAAAATATAACAGAAAACTGCTACAGCAGAAACAATAATGAACCAGAAACAATGTTACTTTTAGTCTCAAAACAGAATATTCAAAAATTAAATCAGAGAGACAAAAGACACACGATATATTCTGGTTCACACCACTAAGCCTAAATTGGGTGCTACATCCAAACTGAAGTCGCCGCATATATTTTATTTATCACAAGTGTACCTGTTTTAGAAACACGCGTCACACAAGCAATCAAACAAAATACGAAAAATCTTCCTAGTAACTACACTACTCCAAGCTCTAAGAATACTCACAAGCTGAACTTACGGAGTTCACTAACTCCTCTCACACCAGACCTCCACTCTTCCTAGTGGATTCTTGAGGCTCTAGGCCTTAAGACACACTCTCAAGCCAAGCACAAGGTCATCAACTCACACGATTGCACTCACACACCTAAGACAGATTTTTCACACACGCATTTCACTTTAAACACAATACAGAATTTTTTCAGATTTGTAACAAGTGAAATTAATCAAAAAATACAGTGTCTTATCACATCAAATATATCACAGTAATATCAAACTAAGCTCCAAGAAATTTATGCAATATGACGAAAATCACAGCAAGGATATATCAATCAAAATCCCTAAAATTTCAGCAACTTTGAACTTGGATATATCAAGATTAAATTTCTAATTAATGGACACAAGGAAATATGATTTAAATAGAATTTATCACAATATAAACAGAAAAATCAGATTTGAAATTCTTTCGAAATATCTAAAATGATGAACAAATGAAGATACTTAATTTTCATATTACACCACTCAAAATCCCTAAAGCATATAAACAAATAGATATGAAAATTTCAGATTAAATGCTTCAAATCAGCTATTCACAAAGGAATTTAGTTGGACAGAAAATACCATAATGAAGCCCTAAATTCTTTGTGAAAGAACCTCGAATTTTTTTTCCAAGAAAATGATGCAGAGATTATGAAGGAGAGATTGCCTTTCTTTTGCTTTTCAACCGGTAAAAACAATGAGCACAATGATCGTAAGAAAAATGTGAGAAGATTTTCTTGAAAATGCTCGCCAATCACTACTATAGCTAGCTCACATGATTTTTTTCTTGAACTTTCTTAAAGAGAATGTTGCAAACGGTTATATGAAGAAGAAAGAAAAATGAGCACTACAAAAATGTGTATCTGGCGAAGAAAAGGATTGGTGAAAAGTGATGCTTTCTTCTTTTCTTTTATTGGTAAAGTAACCTTTTTAATATTTGTTTATTGTTTATTGTTTATTGTTTATTATTATTATTATATTTAATTTTTGCTACGTGATATTTTAGAATTCATATGCTGATGTTGAAACCAATTTGTAAATGACTTACTAATGTTTTAAAACATATAAAACGCTGTTTATTTTTGATTTTAACTAAACTAATTTTTTTAATTGACTTATTTATTTATTTAAACTTAACCCATAACAACATCAAATTAATTATTACTATTAATATGAAATGGATGGAGTTAAATGCATATAAGGCAATGATATGAATTGGAGCTTAAGGAGATATTATATGATATAATATAGTGTGTAACAAAATTCTAAAAATCTAACCACTTGTGTCTTCAAATTCTATCTTCAATTTGAGACTTCTTCTAAACCCTTTGTCATTATCAAAATATGTATTCCATAATGATTAGGAGGTCTTCAAAGTCAACAAGTATTTCAATAATTTTTTGGAAGGTTGGGGTTAGATATTAGCAATTTAACGCGTGTACCGACTAATAGTATTTGGGCTATGACACTTGTAGTAATATAGGAGGAAGTGCAAACTCCCAATACCTATATAGCGGTTCAGCGTAAGACAGTGTCTCGATTGATGGGAAATGAGTCGATTAATTCATGTATGTTCACTATTGTATGAGGTATGCGATTATACATGTCAAGAAATGGTTTGACCAATAATAGGTGCGTGGTATGGGGGTTTGACAACATTATTTACCAGTACTGTGAATAAAGCTTGCAATACGGGTTTTAAAGTTTGAAGAAAAACGATTGCAACACTCTTATTGCCTCAACCCACTGAAAAAACATGATCCCTTCTTCAGGTGCTTTACGTATTCATTACATCCAAGTTGTGTTGCACCCTTATTGTTTCAATTCTTGAAATCCTAAATGCCAACTTTCTTCACAGAATCAGTAGATAATGTTTGGTATATGAGTTCGTAGGAGTATTTGAAGGGTTGGTGGAACAGATTCCACCGCTGTCAAATGAACAAGCATTGGAGAAATTTTTCGGAAGATTGGGGTTAGGGATTCCTAATTTAACTCATGGACCGACTAATAATATTTGGGCAATGACACTTGCAGTAACAGAGGGAATTGCAAACTTCCAATACCTATATAGCGGTGCAGCGTAAAGCGAAGTCTTGATCGATGGGAAATGGGTTGATTAATTCATTTTTGTTCACTATTGTAGGAGGTATGTGATTATACAAGTTGAGAAGTGGTTCGATGAATAATAGGCACGTGGTACGGGATTTGACGACATTATTTACAAGTACTGTGGATAAAGCTTGCAATGAGGGTTTCAACGTTTGAAGAAAAGGGGTTGCAACACTCGTATTGCCACAACCCACTGAAAAAAATATCCCTTCAGGTGCTTTACGTATTCATTGCATCCAACTAGTGTTGCACCCCTATTACTTCAATTCTTAAAACCCTAATTGCCAGCTTTCATCAGAGAACCAGTGGATAATGTTTGGTAGAAGAGTTCGTGGGAGTATTTGAAGGGTTCGTGGCACGGATTCAATCGCTTTCAAATGAACAAGTATTGGAGAAATTTTTCGAAAGATTGTGGTCAGGGATTTTCAATTTAAGTCATGAACCGACTAATAATATTTAGGCTATGACACTTGCAGTAACAAAGGGGGAATTGCAAACTTCCAATACATATATAACAGTGCAGCATAAGGCAGTGTGTCGATAGAATGAAAATGGGACGAATAATTCATCTATGCTCACTATTGAAGGAGGTATTCGATTACACAAGTCCAGAAGTGGTTCGATGAATAATAACTGCGTGGTATATGGGGTTTGACGACATTATCTACCAGTACTGTGAATAAAGCTTGCAATAAAGGTTTCAATTTTTGAAGAAAAAAGAATGCAACACTCATATTGCCTCAACCCATTGAAAAAAAATGATCCCTTCAAGAGCTTTACGTATTCATTGCATCAAATTTTGTTGCACCCCTATCGCATCAATTCATGAAATCTTAATTGCCAACTATCTTCACAAAATCAGTAGATAATATTTGGTAGATGAGTTCGTAGGAGTATTAAAAAGTTTGGTGGCACATATTCGACCGCTTTCAAATTAACAAGGATTGGAGAAATTTTTCGGAAGGTTGGGGATAGGGATTCCAAATCTAACTCGTGGACTGACTAAAAATATTCGGGCTATGACACTTGCAGTAACAGAGGGGGAATTGCAAACTTCCAATACATATATAGCAGTGCGTGGCAATATGGGTTGAGCCCGGCGAGTCAACCCGCCAACCAGCCAAAACGGGGCGGGTTGGGTTGAGGTTTTCAACCCACAAACCCACTTCAACCCGCCCTGCCCGGAAGTGGGTCAAAACGGGTTCAACCCGCCGCGGGGCGGGTTGACCCGCCGGGTTATCATATTTTTTGTTTACCAGTACTATGAATAAAGCTTGCAATAAGGGTTTCAATGTTTGAAAAAAAGAGTTGCAACACACTTATTGCCTCAAACCACTGAAAAAACATGATCGCTTCATGTGCTTTAAGTATTCATTGCATCCAACTGGTGTTGCGCCCCTATTACTTCAATTCTTGAAACCCTAATTTCCAGATTTCTTCACAGAATCAGCAGATAATTTTTGGTAGATAAGTTCGTAGGAGTATTTGAAAGGGTTGGTGGCATAGATTCCACCGCTTTCAAATGAAAAAGTATTGGAGAATTTTTTTGGAAGATTAGGGTTAGGGATACCTAATTTAACTCGTGAACCGACTAATAATATTGGGCTATAACATTTTCACTAACTGAGAGGGAATTGCAAACTTCCAATACATATATAGAAATACAAGATAAGGCGGTGTGTCGATAGATGGGAAATGGGTCAAACAATTCATTTATGTTCACTGCTGAAGGAGGTATTCGATTATACAAGTCGAGAAATGGTTCGATGAATAAGAGACGCTTGGTATGGGGTTTGACGACATTATTTACCAGTACTATGAATAAAGCTTGCAATAAGGGTTTCAAAGTTTGAAGAAAAAGGGATGTAACACTTACATTGCCTCAACCCACTATAAAAATGATCCCTTCAGGTGCTTTACGTATTCATTGCAACCAAGTAGTGTTGCACCCCTATTGCTTCAATTCTTGAAATCTTCATTGCCAGCTTTCTTCATAGAATCAATAGATAATGTTTGTTCGATGAGTTCGTAGTAGTAATTAAAGGGTTGGTGACACAGATTCGACCGCTTTAAAATGAAAAAGTATTGGAGAAATTTTTCGAAAGGTTGGGGATAACGATTCCCAATTTAACTCGTGGACTGACTAATAATATTCGGCCTATAACACTTGCAGTAACAGAGGGAGAATTGCAAACTTCCAAGACATACATAGCAGTGCAAGATAAGGCAATGTGTCGATAGATGGGAAATGGGTCAAATAATTCATGTAAGTTCACTATTGAAGAAGGTATTCGATTATACAAGTCGAGAAGTGGTTCGATGAATAAAAGGCGCGTGCTGTAGGGTTTGACGACATTATTTACCAGTACTGTAAATAAAGCTTGCAATAAGGGTTTCAAAGTTTGAAGAAAAAAGGATGCAACACTTATATTGCCTCAACCCACTAAAAAACCATGATCCTTTCAGATGCTTTACGTATTCATTGCATCCAAGTAGTGTTGCACACCTATTGCTTCAATTCTTGAAATCTTAATTGCCAGCTTTCTTCATAGAACAAGTAGATAATGTTTGGTTGATGAGCTCGTCCTAGTATTTGAAAGGTTGGCGGCAGAGATTCGACCACTTTCAATTGAACAAGTATTGCAGTAATTTTTGGGAAGATTGGGGTTAGAGATTCGCAATTTAACTCATTGGCCGACTAATAATATTCTGGCTATGACAATTGTAGTAACGGAGGGGGGATTGCAAACTCTCAATACATATATAGCA